CTGGCGTGCATGGTACACAGATCTAGTCATGCCATGTCTTCATCAACATAAATGTACGTACGTGTAGGTGAACTCCTACCTACTCAGTGCACTCCGATATGTCATGTCAATGCCTCATCCGATTTGGTTGGTGCAGAATTTTTTGTCGTTAATCATCTTCATTGTCAGTTTATTGAATATCTGGGCCGTTTCAATATTAACACGCAGATCCGCTTTGCAAAAACTAATGTCTATATATTAAAAGCATATTATTGCAAAATAATGTTTATGCACATAAAAATGGTCATGTTTTTTTTAAATTGCAGAATATATTTTTTGGTTTTATAAATATTCTCCAATTTTGTAAAATGTTCACGAATTTTTAGAAATGTGGATGCATTAAAAATTTCATGTGGAAGGAAGAATAAACCATGAAAAAATATGAAAACGTAAAAAAACTAAGGAAAACCGGTACACAAACAGAAAAAGAAAAACTGGTACGGGCCCATTTCGACCAAGGCGGTTTTGCTCGTTGCTGGGCCCTAGTCATTGGCCCATATCTTCACTTGGTCTGGATTGGTTAGCCACCCCTGGTCATGGCCCCGTCACTTCTCTCGACCCAAGTTGAGTCTGAACATCTAAGGCCCTGCGAAATGTGAATAAGCAATGTTAGGAATGTTCCATACCTATGCGAAAGATTGGGCATTGAGCCGCCGTCGGCATGCGTCTCCCTGCTAATGTTTCAATTAAAGCATGGTAATACGGACGAGACTTGACTACTCTTCCGGCGTGCGCCCATCCATGCTCCAGCATACATGGCATGATTTGATTGGAACAAAATAAGGCCCGACCTCACTCCCTTAAAATCAGAAGGAAGATGATTAGATTAGAAAAAAAAGAGAAAAAAAACAGCCGTAGGATGGAGTGGGAGCTTAGATGGAAGCATGAGAAGGGAGCAGGCAAGCCGGATCCTGGTAACACCTGAGAATCTTACATATAAGGGGATGTTTGGATTGTCGTTTCGCACAGCAGTTACACTTGTAAACAATACACGCCTCCGGCCGTCGTTTCATTTGCAGGCGGAAATGGCTACTAGCCCTGTAAATTGCACCTGTAGATAAAATACCAGTGTATTTAAATACACCGATTCCAAGTGCGGCATAAAGTGTTTAACCTTACCAGGCACCCGCACCCCCCAACATGTTTCCATACATCATAAGTTGTCAGCATAAAGCGGCAAATAGGAGGGGTGCTCCAGTTATACGCTTATAACGACAAGTTGTCAGCATAACGCACAGGGATCGCAGCAATGGGCTGGCCAACTAGTGTGTGCTTGTGTGCTATTGGAAAAAAACAACATTGTTCGTTCTGAGTAAAAAAAGGGTAAATCCTTGCTCTGGAAAAAGGCTAATGTTTTAAATTTTAAAAATATCGCAAGAGAATGTTTATAAAAATTGTCATATTTTTTGTAAAAAAAACAGAGAGTTTATTTTTTGGATTTTACAAATAGTTACCAATATTTATGAATTTTAGAAACGTGCATGCATCAAAAAATGTTCATGTATAGAGAATATATAAGTGTAAGGAGGAAGAATAAACCAGAAAAACAAAAAAGGCGAACTAAGCCTAGCTCAGATGGTTAGTTTATTTGTGGTGGAACCAGCACATCAGGGTTCAAGTCCGACACTTGACGTTGGTGCTCGTATTTTCCTAGTTTTATTTCAGAGTTTTTTGTGATGTTCGTTCATTGGGAGTGACGTTCCCGTTGAATAAGGAGACTCATGTGTTGACTTTGTCAATTTCAAGATGATGTGTTGACTCAATCTCACGAATGTGCTCATAGGAATAATGTGTGTGTTTATAGGGATGCATGCATGAGCGTATGCGTCTATCATGTGTTTAAAAGAAAAGCAAAGATGGAAAAAAAGCTAATGAAAACCGTTACATTACACAAATAGAAAAAGAAAAACTGGTAAAACAGATTATTATTTTTAGCAAACCGGTAAAAGAGCTACACTCGCGCGCCATTCAAGAAGTGCAGTACTTGGGCGGCCCATCAAGCAAGACAGCAAGGCATGTAGCCTGGTCCGTGAAAGACTGAAAGTCCGTGAAAAATGCCAATGACGGCCGAGCATCAGGTAGGCCTTTATCCTGGTCGCTGGCGTTCTATGGGGATTCGAGCTTTCTCGGTATTCTAGCGCGTTGTCCCCTCGTATCGCTGCACTGCAGCGTGTATTGATGCAGAAAGGAGGCTGCTTTAGCTAGGGAATCTAGCACTTGGACCAGCCCTGACAATGTTCCATTGTATTGTATACACTTGCATGTGCTGCCAGCAACCGCTCTCTCTCTCTCTCTGCCAAGCGCACTGACCCGCTCGTGGGAACAGTTGAAGGAATCCTGGCAGGTGCTACACTTCACCATTAGGGCCCTTTTGATTCAAAACATATCTTTAGGATTTTTGAAGGATTGAAATCCTTAGGAATTTTTCCTATGTCGACCCTTTGATTCATAGGACTGAATCTCATAGGAATTTATCCTATGAAATCTTTTGTATTACATTTCATAGAAAATCTAACATCCACTCTAACCTCTTTTTACATTTTCTTTGTTTTTCATGTGGCATCAAATACTCTTTGCTAATTCTATAGGATTCAAGTTGACATGCCACTGTAATCCTATACTTTTCATATTCCTACATTTTTAAAATCCTGTGAATCAAAGAGGCCATTAGTTTTGACGCCCAGGTGGATGAACTCTATCCACTAGCACCTAATTTTGTTACTTGGGATCCAACCATCATTAGCACCCAATTTTGTTACTTGGGATCCAACCACCATTAGCACCCAATTTTGTTACTTGGGATCCAACCATCATGCTCAGACAGTGTAACATCCAACAATCAACATATTTTGTGAATGTTAATGAACAAGTGGTGACATTTTATTCCTCAGCACCACCACGGACAAATTCCAGGATAGGTAATTTGTGCCAAGATTATGTTAAAGCACTATGGTCTCTTTAATCAACACCCTTTTTACATCAGACATGCCTAGTGCTCACTTACGAAACCACATGGCATCTCACTCACGCAAGCATATTGCCACTGCCGCTCATCCTTGCTAATTCCTCCTCCCAAAGCTGCTCAAGAACACAAAGAACAGATTGCATCTTCATGTACGGATGCGGTTAACCAGCCAGATGGGTTAATCACTGAGCCATCTCTCTTGTCGACGTATGTTGTAGGGATTAAGCTCCATCTCCTTTTGGAGTTCCTATTAGCAGTCTGAGAATAATCACATAAACACATTTGCATGAGAAACAACCCCAGTGTTTCCAGAGAATGAAGGAAAACGCATTAACAATCTGACTAGGATATGCCATAACTATACTGCAGAAGCAAAAACTAAAACACATTTGTTATAGCATCATGCTAGATATAACACATCAATCAAAAGGTAATCAACTAATTGTCCAAATCCAAACCAATGAAGGCACACCTGCCGACAGTTCTGCTAATTATAGCTAATTTAATTTACAAGGACATGGCAATGGGGAAATTTATTTCTTCAGCCAGCTTAGTTATCCACCGAAATGAACATATTAATCACGGGAAACTAGCTAAACTTTTCTTTTTGTTTAATTGCACAGAAAGGCACTAACACCCTTCATGAGGTGTTCTTCAGAAAAATGTCAACAGAGTTACATGAATCAAAATAGTACAACATTCTTTCCCACTCAGATCTTTGCAATCAGTGGTACGAATTCAAACTTTACCCTACTCAAATGAAGTAATTATTAGCCTTAGATTGGCACATCAAGAACAAACCATCAAAACCATTACTAAGTTCCAGCAGGATGAAGCATCGACTATCAAAGTTAGATGGATTCCTCAAGACATCACAAAATCTCACTGGTTTATGAACATTTTTCTGTAACTGGAGTGAAGATCAAAAGGGGACACCTCAACAAAAATCAAAGGCCAGCAAAAGTACTCATTGATGATCACAACTGACATTGATTTTCTCAAGAAAATTGGACATCACAGAAATAAAGAAAAAAATCATGGCCATGAAAAGCTAACCACATACTAGTGTATCCAGAGCCATACAAGATCGGAGTATTAAAGAAACAAGAATCGAAATCACAGCACCATGCTTAAAAATCCAAGAAACGAAATCACAGCACCCATGCTTAAAAAAACACTAAGAATCGCAAGGTTAGAGCTCGAGCCATAGATGACGTTGTCCCCGCTGACGAATCCGGCACCTTCCCCCTCCGCCCCACCTGCATCTTCATGCTACCGGCGCCCCCCTCCAGATCTGGCCGCACACATACCTGTGCCGGACCTGTCCTGCTCCTTCCCCGCCGGCGTTCCCTTCGTTGGAGCCTTGGAGGTGAGGCTGGGTACCTGGGTGGGGGCGATAGGAACGAGGACGACAGAGAGCGAGGGTGACGATGGCAATAATGGATGAGAGAGTAGAGCAGCATGTGCCGAACATGTATGCGTAGGTGTATCCCAGACCGTATATGAAACACTAGGCCGACACTAGCCTGCCGACGGCCCGACGGATTCCAGATCCCCAAGCCCATACCAACGCCGAGGATACCGGCCTGCCTGGTGCTCGGCCTCTGAAAATCCGCACTCGAAAGTCCGTCGCTTTTGCGGGAGCGTGTGTATTATCGGTTCGTTCCTGTCGGCGGGCTGGCTGCTGCATGGAGGTCCGGACAAGACCTCCACCTCGTCAACTGTTCGTGTTTCCTTCCGAGGTGACGGAGGTCCACTGGTTTGTGTGTGACCCGCGCACCTGCCACGGCACGCCCCACGAACGGCCGCTGGTTAGGTACCGCACGTGGCTCCCAAGAACGCCGGCCGCCCGCCGTCGTCTACTACAAATATCCCACTCACTCTCTCTCTCTCCTTGACTCAGCCAGGCGGTGCAACTGCGACCTGGGACGACACGGCGGCAGCGCTGATCAGTATCTCCCTCGTCGTCTTCTCGCCGCTCGCTCTCCCGACAGAAATGGCTGGCCAGGCACAAAACGGCCACGGCGACCTCGCCAGGAAGCCGCCCGTCGTCGTCATGTACTCGCCGCCGGGGATGGCGGGCCACCTGGTCCCCGTGGTGGAGCTCGGCAAGCTGCTGGTCGCGCAGGGCCTCCGGGTCACCGTCGTGCTCGGCGGCGGCGGCGCGTCCTCGTCGCTCCTCCACGCCGCCGCGGCCGCCAACCCGGCGCTCGCCTTCCACTGCCTGCCCCCGGCCGCGCTCGCCCCCGACGTGGCCGCCGCCTGCAGCCGCAGCTTCGAGGCCAGGCTCTTCGAGCTCGCGCGCGCCGCCAACCCGGACCTGCGCGACTTCCTCCGCGCCGCGCCCCCGGCCGCCCTCCTCATCGACTTCTTCTGCAGCGCCGCGCTCGACGTCGGCGCCAAGCTCGGCGTGCCCACCTACTTCTTCTTCACCACCTGCGTCGGCAGCGTCGCGTTCGGGCTCTACCACCCGGTCATCGACGAGCGGACCACCCTCGGCTTCGGGGACATGGGCGGCGACCCCGTGCACGCCCCGGGACTGCCGCCCATACCGGCGGATCACCTCGCCGGGGCCATCCAAGATCGCGAGAGCTTGAGCAACAGGCACTTCGTGGACTTGGGCCTAAGGATGTGCGACTCCATGGGCGTCCTCGTCAACGGCTGCCGGTCCCTAGAGCCGGGCGCCGCCGACGCCATCGTGGCAGGCCTCTGCAATCCGCAGTGCCGGCCGACGCCGCCGCTGTACTGCGTGGGGCCGCTGATTAAGCACGGCGAGGAGACCGGGGCGTCAAAGCGCCACGAGTGCCTCGCGTGGCTCGACGGCCAGCCCAACGCCAGCGTGGTGTTCCTCTGCTTCGGCAGCATGGGCCGCTTCAGCGCGGAGCAGGTCAAGGAGATAGCGGCGGGCCTGGAAACAAGCGGGCAGCGGTTCCTGTGGGTCGTGCGGCGCCCGCCCCCGCCCGGCGCCGAGCGCCGGCCGCCGGCCGACGGAGACGACGACGGCGACATCGACGAGCTGTTCCCGGAAGGCTTCCTGCAGCGGACCAAGGACAGGGGGCTGGTGGTCATGTCCTGGGCGCCTCAGCGGCAGGTGCTGGCGCACGGAGCGGTCGGCGGCTTCGTAACGCACTGCGGCTGGAACTCGGTGCTGGAAGCTATCATGGCGGGCGTGCCGATGCTGGCGTGGCCGCTGTACGCGGAGCAGCGCATGAACAGAGTATTCCTCGTCGAGGAGATGCGGCTGGCCGTGCCCATGGAAGGGTACGACAAGAAGATGGTCGAGTCCGACGAGGTGGCGGCCAAGGTGCGGTGGCTGATCGAGTCCGACGGCGGGAGGGAGCTCCGGCAGCGGACGCGGGCGGCCATGCGGCTGGCGGAGGAGGCGGTGGGCGACGGCGGCGAGTCGAGGGCCGCGCTGGTGGATCTCGCGAGACAGTGGAAGAGCGCCGCCGACAGCTGAGCTCACCGTCGGGATTTCGGACGTCACGTACGCGAGGTGCTGCATGTGTGCACGTGTGACCTTGGATCGAGTAGTACGACTGCATCGCGTGCTGCATGATGCTGTTCATTACTGTCTGTGATATATAAATACTGAGCAATTGCTTTTTTTTAGGGAACCGAGCAATTGCTCAACTCAATAAAAAGGACCCCTTACCTGGCGAACGTTCGTCAATAGTGGCATCTTCTATATCTAAATAGCTAGCCCCCACTAATATATTTCTCTCAACATGCAAGCATGCCACATCATCAAGCAACATGCATGGCAAAAGGCCTACCACAACATGCATTCATGCACATGAAAATATCCACCTCAACATGCAAACATATCTTACACGATTTTGATTGACATTTTTAGTTGCGAGAGTGTGAAAGTTTCTTTTGTGCGACATGATAGATTCTGTCAGAGAAGGCAATTTTTTCGTTTAAAACTGCCACCGCTTGATCTTGTATTAGAACTAAAACTGCCATCAAAAGGGTTCATTTGTCACCCCTCTCCCAGCAAACGATTGCCAGATAGGATTTCCGATAAAAAATGACCCAATAATGGTCCGACGTTCGATCCCCAGGTACCTCAGTGCGAAAGAAACGTTTGCTAGGAGGAAGCCACTCGAGCGAACGAAAACGTTCGATGCAAGCGGCCCTGCCAGCAAACGAAATGCATGAGCACCTTCCAACTTCTTTTTAGATATGGGCATTGTTCAGCTGAGTGGGCCTATGCGAGGGGCTTAAGCAGCGGTTCAAGAAACAACGGTCGTGTTTGGTTCCCTGGGTACGTTCAGACTGCATTGCACGGGGGATGCGGGCTGAGTGTGGCCTGGTTGAGCCGATGCAAGAATGAACCAAGATTGGTATTTGGTGAACCTGTACCATATAGCTGTACGAGGCGCAGATTCTTCTGAATGTCACTAAAATCAGAGAGAAACGGGGATCATTCGACGGCTCCAGACGGTGGGATCTCGCTTGCGGCGGCGCGAGGTAGCCTGACCCGGCGTGCGGCGGCAGGACCTGGTGTGGGGCGGCGCAAGATGACTGGATCCGGCGTGGACGACGAACGAGGACGGTGGCGGCGGCGCTTGACCAGGACGGTGGCGGCGACGACGCTTGATGGAGGCAAACGAGGCAGCGGCGCTTGACGACGACGGCGGGCGATGTGGAAGCGGAGCTCACCTCACCACGCGGCGCTTGATGGGGGCCGGGCCGGCGCTTGACGAGATGCTCTGGCAGTGTCGGGGGTTTGGTACGACGTATGCCAACGGATGGCTTATCATGGTGGGGGCGAGTAGAACATCGCTGGTGCCTGGAAATGGGATGAGGCGAAGACATGCACACCGGCGAATCTTACCCAGCTTCGGGGCTCTCCATAATACCCCTACTGCTGCTCTGCGGGGTCTCCGCATGATCACTATGGTCAAGTGTTTACACGGTTGCTCCTTGAGCTGTGTATGGTGGTAGGAGAGGGCAAGGCTAGCTCTCTCCCTCTATCTGGTGAGGTATAGAACTATTGGGATCCAACCCTTTGCATGGGTGCCCTGGGGGTTTATATAGGCCTACCCCCCAGGGGTACAATGGTAATGTGGCTGGGCGCGGGCCCAGCCGTCAGTGTCTCCGACCACCGACTTCTCCGCCGACTGCTGGGGCCCGCCGACTGGTCTGGTATGGAGCCGACAGGCCGCATCCGCCGCGGGCGGGTCTTGCCGGCTGCTGATTACTGTAGCCGTGCTCCTGATGATGCAAGCTTGGTCATGGGGTCGTGGCAACAGCCCCGCCGCCTGGCGGGCGATCACTGTGGCCACTCCCCATCTCTTCTTGATTAATGGCGCGTGGGCCCGGGGGAGGGCTCGACCGACTCCCCCGGGCCGACTCCCGTTGGGTCCGACTGGCGGTGCTCCCGCCGTCTCTCGAGGTCTCGCTGGCTGGTGGGCCCTGCTGCCTCCAGGCCGTACAGATAAGCCGTCGTGGGCGCAAGACCAGGTACAGTGGTGCTGATGTCAGGGCTGGCTGGGCAACAGTGCCACGCCGCGGGGAGATCTTCCCAAGTACGGTGCGCTGTAGCCATGCCTGTCCTTGGTAAGGGGCGGGGAGTGGGCTTCATTGTAGCCATACCCCTGCCCCGTCCCCCTCGATGAGGTCACGGTTTGTTGGAGTCGCCGGCCGACTCCCCAAAGCCGGCTTCTCTGGAAGTCGTTCCTGGGACTCGGCCATGAGCGGGCAGTCGGCCGCCTTGCTGTAGACTCCCCAGGAGGCGGCTCTTCGCCCTGTGGTCTTGAGGGGCACAGCCTGCCCCGATGTCTTGAAAGGTCGTGGGGCTCGGGTTGGCCTACCCGTGGCCCATTACTCCGACAGTAGTCCCCGAAGCTAGTGAGGCACCGCGGACGATCGGCCGAGAAGCCTCAGCAGTTTCTCTTTCCGGGTGCAACACATGGTCTTGATTGACTTCCGCCGGGCTGACTAGAAGGAGTCGGACTCGCCCAACTCGGACTCACTCAATTCTGACTTGCTCAGTAGTTCGAACGTCGCGGCGGGATTTCAAGTGGCGTGCTAGCTAAGCTTCCAGGCCGCCGCCCGTTCCTGGCCTGTCACACAAGGGCACGTGGCCAGGCCGTTCTGCCATCCCACGCGCACGACGGGACAGGCCCATAGGCGGGGCCCGCCACTACCGTGCCTCGGCGCCCGAGCGGATCCGCTGCGGCCCTGGCGGGCGGTTGGGATTCCCGTGAAGTTACTGCGCGCAGTAACTTTACGTGGATCGTGGGGGTCGTGGGGCTGCGGGCGCAGTAAATCCCCACGTCCCCCCCTCGGCTTCGCAGCCCATAGGACTATAAGTAGGGGGAAGAGGGGGGCATGCGCGCCCCTCCTTCCCACTACCCCTCGCTTCTTCCTCCTCGCAGCTCCTCGCTCTCCTGCTTCCTCTTCTCTTCTTCGCCTTGCCGCACGCCCAAGCTCCAGCGAACGCCGCGGCGACAGCTTCGCGATGAGATCTTCCCCCACTGCCGCGCCTCCCCCAGTGCGCTCCGGCACCTGGGACGGCTCCGAGGTCCACGAAGACCATATCGAGTTCCTCCGGCGGACCCGTCGGCTTCCCGACGAGGATCGCGTGCAGGTGCGTCTCGCGCCAGAGGGGGAGATTTCCCCCGCCCCACGGGAGGGCGAGCGGGTCATCTTCCACTCGCACTGCCTGCGCGGGTTGGGGCTGCCGGCGAGCAGCTTCTTCCGGTCGTTCATGGAGTTTTACAGACTCCAGCCGCACCACCTCACCCCAACACAGTGGTGCTGCTGTCCGCCTTCGTGGCTCTATGCGAGGGCTTCCTTGGAGTCCTCCCCACCCTCGAGCTCTGGGGGGAGTTCTTCTTCTCCAAGCTCGGCACCCAGGCCGCGGGCGTGCCAGCTCAGTGCGGCGCCTTCATCGCCGTGCGAAGGACAGGAGCCGACAACCACTTCCCCTCCATCTCGCTGCTGAAGTCGGTGAAGATGTGGCAGCGGTCCTACTTCTACGTCAGGAACGTCGCCATGAGGGGCGACTGGGTTAATCTGCCGGCTTTCGAAGCCGGCCCGCCGGCTGACAGACTGCCCAACTGGTCGTATCGGGCCAGGTCGCTGACGCCTGCAGGAGCCGGCGCCATCACGCGACTCCGAGTGCTGACGCAGTCGGAGGGTCTGACTGGCCCGGACCTGCTGGCCGCCTTCGTCTCACGCCGAGTTCTCCCACTCCAAGGCCGCCCTCACCTTATATGCCAGATGAGCGGGGGCCGCGACCCGAGTCGGATGTGCACCAAGGACATACCTCACGAAGAGGTGGCCCTGATGGTGAACTACATCTCGGACAGCAGGTTCCCGAAGGACTGGCGATTCGGCAAGGAGCCATACTCCCGCGCCAACCCCCCGCCCGTGGTGAGTCGCCTTTCTTTTCTTCAGATTGTCTTCTTCTTGCCAAGTCTTGTTCTAATTAGTCTGCTTTTTGGTTAGAATCCCCTTCTTCACCCACTAGCCGGCACCTCGGGGCCGGCCCGTGAGTTCGCCATCGATCGGGCGGAGAGCGACGTCGACGACCCTGATCTGGGGGCGGCGGCTCTAGAAGACGACGCTGAGGGAGGAGGAGGGACGACAGGCGACTTCAGGCCCTCGGCTACCTTTGCCGACTGGCCTGAAGATGACGCCGAGGGAGGATTCGCCCCTCACCATCGGCCAGGAGCCAGCCAGCCGGGCGCGGGCTCTTCTGCCACGTCGGGCGTTCCAGGCGGTGGGAAGAAGCGCCGGGCTGTGCCGACTTTGTTTGGCAGCCGGACGAAGAAGCCCAAGGGCTCGGCTCCGGCGACCCGGCGGGACGAGGCAGCCGCAAAGGCCATCCGCTTCCGTAAGGAAGTGAAGAAGCCGCCGTTGGTCTCTGCGTAAGTATTCTGACTTCAAAGTTTATTCTTTCTTCGTGTTTTGTCTGAGTCTCTGCTCGCCCTTCTTTCTTCAGGGCTCCCCTCTCTCTTAAGCGGGTCGCCGCCGCCTCCGTCATGGGGTCAGTGGGGACACCCGCCACCACTCGACGGATAAACCCCGCTGCCAACCTCTAGGAGGCGACGGAGCGGAATACGCAGGAGAAGCGCAATGAAGAAGAAGTCCTCCGCCTGGAGAAGGCGGAGGCCGACAGGGCGGAGGCCTCCGCCAAGAAAAAACTAGTGGAGGCCGAAGCCGCCACCGCGGCGAAGCAGCAGGCTGAGTAAGCCGCATGCCGCCAGGCGGCCTTGCTTGTTACCCCACTGAACTCTGCGCCGCCATCGCCGGAGTTCACGGGGCATACTGGAGGAGCCGGCGGGGAAGGGAAGGCGGCGAGCCCTCTACTCCGGGCGCGAACGTTCCGCCGCCACCTCCGCCGCCGTCTGAAGGCGTGCGAGGCGAGCAGCCAGCGGACCCTCCAGTGCCGCCGACCGAAGAAGAGGCCGTGGCGAGGCTACTCCTCTAGGTCGGCTCGCC